CATATCTTTGTAATTGCATTTCACAAGAAAGGGTTGAGTGTCGGGTTGCATTTGAATGATTCAAATCTTTGTGCAAGGAATGGTTCTGAGAAACGCGGCTCTGATACCAATTATAAAGACCCAAAATTTAATGAATATGAAAATATTGAATCAACAAAATAGTAGCAGAAGCAATTGAGAGTTTAGGGTTTACATTCCTTACATAATAAATTGGGGTGCCCAATAGAGTTACGGGAATGCCCATTTTAGGAAGTTTCAGTAACGAAATAAATAAATAAAAGAAAACATAACTAAAGATCCTATAGAGTCAACCTCCATTGGGCAAGTCTGATGAGATGCGGGAAACAACTCTTATTCGCAACTTATTTACTGTTCAAGATCTGAATCTTAGTCTTCCTAATATGAAATTGTTAAATAAAGGAGGATGAGCTACACTAGCCCAGTAAGAATATCACACTTAACACCAATACAGAAAATCAAAGGTTGGTAAAAATCATCAAACAACCAATGGAGTCATTATCTCTTTTTAAATAAATTTGTTTAACTTAAAAATCGTTATTTCATACTTACTCTTATGAGTTTTCAAAATCAATCTATGAAGACAATAACCCGAATAACATTTTATTACACATTTAAATGAACAATAACAATAAACTTACCTTCTTACCTGCTTATCAGTACCTCTAGACGTGTGAATCCAATACCTAATTTATAAATTGACCGGTCGTTCTCATACTCCTTCCGCTAATAAGCGCCAAATATACCACCACCTCGATATCCCATCCGGTATAAGGGTGATCTATACCTCGCAAACTCTTCCAGTATGAGACTTCTTAGTTTCGTTCAATTGATCCACAGTAGGGTTTTCCCTATGCACTGGGTCCATACACCCTTTTTCAGGGTACCTAATGAGCCCTTTTTACATGCATGTTCATATCATTCACCAGCCACCAATTATAAACTATAATCTTATTTCATGATCACCAGAGAAATAGAACCACAATTTAATAAACTATATAGTTCAATACTGAATACTTAGAGAAAGCATAATCAAAACAATTATTTCAAAACCAATCAATTGATAGAGATAAACAATGAAGTAAATTAATAAATGGGAAGGAAAATAAACCTATGAATTAAAGTGCATGCGATAAGCAAACAATAACAGTTTAGTAATAATTGAATAATATAGATAAAATAGGCAATTTCGTACTAATCAGTTACCGACTCCATTGGTGACCTGTAAATAAATTTTAGGATTTTCTAATTTTTGCAAAACACATCATTATTAGTTATTACATTTTAATTTACCATAATGGAAAAAAATGATGAGAGATTCTTACCTTGGATCGGTGTTCGAAACACCGTTCTTTTTACTGCGCCTCTTAGCAGTTTTTGAGTTTCTTGAGTTTTTCCTGTGGAAATCAAAAATACGCGTTAGGTATCGCAAAATACCCAAAAAAGCCAAAATAAGTATTTTTAAACTTTTTCGGCCAGTTTAGGCTTTCGGCACACGACCGCCGCCGTGCTCCGGCGCTGGCTCTATCGCCCACGATGGTGATTCCTCTCAACCTGGCCGTTTTTGGCCGATTTTAGCTGGTTTTGCATGGAAACCTACGAAAACTAGGGTTAGGGAGCCTTTATCGGCGGAAAAAGAGAAAAATCGAGACTCTACTGGGGGGTTCTCCGGTGCGGCGGCTCTACCACTTCTCTCTTGCAGTCGAGGTTTCTCTTCGGCTAACCTGCATCAAAGAGAGATAAGGAACACATTGGTCAAAGAATCAAAGGAAACGGGAAACGAGAAGGGGCTCATCAGAGGAGTTTTTAGGTTGTGACTACGGCGGCTCGGCCAAGCTCTGCTTGTATTTTTTGGCTCACTCGTTGACCTTTTGGCTCCGATATAGGTGTGTGGAGGTTTAAAATTCAATTTCGAGTGGAAGAGGGGAACATTTTACCTTTTCAGCATCGATGGCGGCTCTGGTGCGACGGTGATAGTGGCCGGTCTCCTTCTCTGGCGACTGGTTCACTTTCTAGCTGCCCCTCTTTTTCTTCTCCGATCACCTCTCTGGCGGCTAGGGTTAGGGTTCCTTGCGAAAAGGAGTTTAAATAATCCTCTTCATTAAATCTAGGCCGTTTGTTTGAGGAAATGTGACTCATCCTCAGCTATTGGATTGTTCTTATTTGAAAAAATAATATGGGCCGCATGATCTGATCAAATCCAGCCGTTCGATCGCGCCTAAAGAGAAAACGGATCTGAGTTATCCGTGCACGCGGGATGCGGTCTGGGCCGTTGGATCCACTGGCATGCGGATCGCCTGTGTGGACGCGTGTCTACGTGTTTGCCACGCGGCACATGGAGACTGGTCGCACTGCTAACGTGGCGGTCCACGTGGCCAAATTTTTGAAAATTTTATTTTCACATAAGTTTTCCAGATTTCTTTTAAAATAGATCCTCCTTTTTTTCTACCTTGACCATGATTTTCGAAAATATTTTCAAATGCTTCCAAAACTCAATTTTCATCAAAAATTCATTAAAAAAAAATTAAAATTAAAATTATTTTAATTTATTTTTTTATTAAAATTAAATTATCTTCGACCAAATTTTTAGAACCAGGTGTTACACAAAATTCTTAATAAATAAAGTTCAGGAAATCATATTCTTATTTTTTTTATTTATATAATATTATCTAAATATTTTTTTTTTTCACAGTATGAAAATTTTACAATTCTTTTAAGTTTTATCTAAGATATAAAAACTTCTCCTATGGGAACTTACTCATAAAAGAATTCAAGAAAGAACACTCATATTTTTGTTCTATGATGGATATATACTATATAGTAGTTTCCATTTACATGCAAACAAAGAAATTAAAGCCTTCCGCAAACTTGTTTCCTTCCTCTTCGTCGACATGAGAGGGAAATAGGGTTAAGATCTTCTTTTACAGATGATAATGGCAAACGCTGATGGGTGATGCTAAAAATAAAGCACAGTTTACGAGTTTCTTCATGGCAGAAGAACAAAATCAAGAGAGGTGAAGCTGGAAGTCAAAGGGGGAAAGCATGAAGAAGAAGAGAAGATGAGTGACCGATCAGAAGAGAGAGGCTCGGTGATGAGACTTGAAGAAGAAACACAGGCGATTGCATGAAAAGGTGAAGGAAAAGCACGAAGTAAGGAGAGCCCTTCATTAGATGTGGATTAGGTGATGAACCAGGCTATAAAATTGACCGTACCCAATTTGAAAAAGGGAGGCTTTCTGGGGAGTTTCTGGAGCTTTTGGAGGAGAAAACAAAAGCGTTTTCCTAGGAGAAAGCAAACGTTTGAAGAGGGGTTTTTCGGGAAGAAAAAGAAAGCAAAGGGGTTTTTCCCATTGAGCTATTTGAAAATTATGAAGAAGAAAGCAGAGGAGGCTGAACAGTGGGAAGCGTTATGGAACCTTGTCTTGACAGATTTGTGATTGTCTGGTAACTTCTTCTTCTTCCTTTTTATCTAATTTGTTTGTTAAGAGACATTTTTTGAGACTGGTTTCATGATTTTTGGGAAATGGGTTCATGATATCTTGCAGAAGAAATTGGTTTTCTGTGTGGATATTGTTCTTGAAATGGTAGCATGATATGATACTGCTTTGGCATGATGATGTTGTTTGAATTGATGGTGAGTTTTGAGAATTAAATTTTGAGAATGAGAAAATAAATTATGAAAATGGTGGAATTAGACCCAGTAAATGTGAGATTTTTCTCGGCAAACACACTTTCAATTTGAATAGAATGAGATGAGTTGAATTTTTTTTTTAAAAGGTCACATTCTAATTTGAATCTTCAAGTATAAATTGAATTGAATATTGGATTGGACGAAAGTCAAATTCTTTGGATCAAGTTCAATTTGAATCTTTAAATTTTTCGGAAAAAAAAAAAGTTATACAAAATAAAAACGATGGTTCATGAAAAAGAATAAGCGAGAATTTGCTAAAACCCTAATCTTGTCTCGAACTTGAAATTTTGTTTAACATGAATTGAATTTTTCTTTGAAAGGTTCCGTAATGCTTCCCACTGTTCAGCCACCTCTGTTTTCTTATTAGATGTCCTTTTTCTAGTGTCATCAAATATTTAAGTTTAATCAAGGTTTATGGGTATGGAGTTATGAGATATGTTTAATTTTATAGTTGACACAAACATGTTAGGATTAAACTAATTTAATCAAGCTAGGCCATGTTTAGATCAGATTCGAGCTTGATTTTGATTAAATGGGTTAATTCGAGCTCGCACATAAGGGCTTTTACTTGGGAATTCACAAGAGGCTAAATAAAATAAATAAGAGGCTCATAAAAGTTACACAATTATACTCCATTAAAGAGATTTCATAGAACTTATTTTTTAAAGAAGCTTATATTTTATATATATATAAAAAAAACATTTGTTTAGACTCGCATAATAGAACATATAGCTTAATTAAACAGACACCGCATGTGGTAGTTAGGAAAAAAATTTAAGTTTTCGCAGTCATTTATTGTAAAAATTTACTTCTGTATAAATGAACTGCTAAATTTTGAGATTAGAGAATAATATTATTAGTTGGTACATTACTGTGACTATGAAACATTAAAATAAACAAAAGGCCTAAAAAGCTTTACCTATCATAACTAAATTATACTTTGTGTCGACATGAAATCACTAGAACAAGAACATGTACCAACAAAGAAACATAGATCCTCCCCTAAGTCTTTGCTCAAATCAATGGTAACTTAGGGGAAGCTTTTAGTTGAGGTAGTTTCATCTTTCTTGTCATTGTTCTTATCCTCCATGGATGGAATCATTTTCGCATGCTCTAATTCCACGAACCAGGATTTCCCCTTCATTAAAGTCTTAATGTCATCCATGTTATTTAACTGGATATCTATTTTTGGTGTTTCCTGAGAATTCTTACCATTCTTCGTAAGCCTATCAATCTTTCTCTGGACATTTTTTGAGAAATTTTGGGTCATTCGCCCGAGACCGTTTAAACCTCTCATGCTTAAATTTGTTAATGGCTTCCCTGCTAGACTTTCAAATAAAATTCGAGTCATCTCGGTATCATGATTGCCTTGGCGTTGTTTTCTAAGTTGTTCTCTACCTTTGTTGATTCTTTGCTTAAGAAAACTCTCCTGGTTCACCATCTTTTTACTCCGATCTATCTCAGACATCCCTTTGAAATCAGTGACCACTTGGTGGACTCCCATAGAAGAAGGCCAAACTTCAGCTTCAGCATCATAAGGACTGTAAAGAATCAAACACGCGTTAACACCACATAAAGTACTTAACTCGCTTACCTTTTTCATCAATCCCTTCTTCCTTTTCTTGTAGGTTGCTTTCCTAGAGGAATCATTGGCGATGTAAGCGAGTTTCACCTTCTTTCTAGCCATGGTTGCGAGAGAAAGAAAAAGAATTGAATTATACTTGAGTGATTTTCTTTGATTTCTTTGAAACAATTGAAGGGTGTATATATAGATTTGACGACATGTCTGTTTTTTTTTTTTTGTGCATATCCATGTCAAAATCTTTGTATGGAAAATATCGAAATACTATAAATTTAAAGATCTTAAGATGGAAAATATCTCGAATTTGTAGATATTGAAAAATTGCAGTTTATAAAGATTTTTTTTCCCAAATAAACAAGTACAATAGGTAAATTTTTAATTTAGCATTTCAAAAAATCTCAATATAGCTATAATATCATTTTAAGGAAAGCTTATATATAATTGGATTGATGTTTTTCTATGGTTTTCTCTTAATAACATAACTTTTTTGTATGGATAATAAATGATATTGAATCTTATTCATCATTTTCTCCCAAATATATATTTCTAGATATTTTCTATATTCAATTTAGTTAAGCTAAAAATGATTTGAATATCTACATAGTAGATATAGTTTTTAATATTGGCATTGCCATTTTTGCAAAACCACTAGCGCGGTAATTATATTCCATTAGCACAGTCGAATAATATTTAGTTAATTGTATGTTATTGAATCAATGGAATAGAAAAAAATGGGCATGATTATGGATAAAAAGTTATTAATTTATTTCCGAACTTCGGTCAATTCTTCATTTAGCATAAATATTCTTTTCACAAAGAATTTCCAAATTTTTAATTCTTCAAATTGTGTAAATGTAACACTCCAAGTTCATGA